TTTGTGAGAATTGATGTAAAGTATGGGGAATTGTGTCATCCATGGTGTCAAGGAAGTTAAGGTCTAGTGGTGTGGTGGGGTGTGCGAAAGGAAAGGTGGATTCGTCAAAAGTAACATGTCGGGAGATTATGATTTGATCGAGGCATCGAAAACCATGTTGATTGGAGGGATAGCCGAGGAAAATATATCGAGTGGACCGGGGAGATAATTTGTGGGGGGCAGTGGGTACCTCGTGAGGAGTACGTTTTTGGATAGTGGTGGTGGGTAAAAGGTTAAAAAGATGGCAGGCCATATGAAGTGCCTCGACCCAATATTCAGGGGGTAGTTGGGCTTGAAAGAGCAAGGTGCGAATTGTGTTGTTGAGGGTTCGGATGGTGAGTTCGGCACGTCCATTTTGTTGGCTTGTGTGGGGACAAGAGAAGCGGAAAAGAATGCCTAGGGAGTTAAAGACGGTTTGAAGAGGGGTGTTACGGTATTCTATTCCATTGTCACATTGTACATTTTTAATAGTTGTATTAAAATGATTTTTCACATAAGCCATAACCTTGGTTAATTGAGAAAAAACATCAGATTTGTGACGTAAGGGAAAGACCCATAAGTAATGAGAAAAATCATCAAGAAGAAGCATATAATGTTTAAAACCAGTATTACTAGGTACGGGTGACTGCCATAAATCAGTATGCATAAGTTGAAATGGAAAAGTTGAAGTACGACTAGAAGAAGTAAAAGGGAGACACACATGTTTCCCTAACTGACAAACATGACATAAATTGTCGTAAAAATGTTTATTATTAAAAACAGATAAAGGGGGAATGGCATGGAAAACAGCTGGGCTAGGATGGCCAAAACGAGGATGCCACGTCTGGGTGTCAACAGAGGCAACGTGTGCTTGAGCAACTGGGACGTGCGGGCGCAAGGGGTAGAGGGGGCCGTTGTCATTGGAGCGATGAATCATGTTGCCCGTTCGAGGATCCTTCACAGAAAAACCAGTAGAGTCAAATTCAATAGTACAGTTGTTATCACGAGTAAACTAACAAACGGAGATAAGGTTGTGGATGATGTGGGGAGAAATGAAGACATTATGAAGAGATAAGCGTGGGGTGGTGGGGAAAATATGTTTACCCACCGCCGTGGCGCGCACTTTAGATCCATTACCTACAGTGATAAAAGGTGGTGAATTTAAACTTTTTGAATAAACATGGGAAATAGTACCTGGGTCGGAGGTGATATGATGGGATGCACCGGTGTCCATGAGCCATGTGGGTTCCTGTAGGGTCATTGTGTCAAATTGATGGGCTAGGGCAGTGGGGGTGGGGGAGGGGAGGGTGTCGGGTAGGGGGCAGACAGGTGGGTGGGTGGTGTGTACACGGACTAGGAGGGGTATATGGGCTGGGTTTGTGGGTTCAATGGGTTTTGTGGGCTAAAAGGATTGGGGTTAAGTGGGCTGGGTAAGGAGAAAAGGTAGGTTGAGTGTAATGGGCTTGGGGTGGGGTTTGGGTTTGGTTGGGGCGTGGGCCCAAAAGCCCAACCCACTGGTGAGAAGGATAAGTGATCTGCCAAGGAGAGAACTGCCCAGGGAAGTGCCGAGAGGGAGTTCCGCCGTTTCGTCCTCGACCACGACCGCGAGTCGGCCGTCCACCGCGGCCACCGTGCGACTGTCCCCGTCCGCCGTACGTCTGGGCTGGTCCAATACTGCACTGCAGAGTCCGAGATGCTGTCCTCCATGACCACCGAAGCCTGAGCCGCGAGGGACTCCTCCGCCGTGTGATGTCAGCGCCGTGCTCCCCTCACCGGCGGCAGGTCGCTGCTGTCCCTCGAGAAGAAAGAGGGCTGATCAAGTGTCCATGAATGTTGGCGGGGGTTTTTGAAACTGTAAGAACGAGGCTTGATTGCTTAGATCCTCCAGGAGGCCACGTAGGGTTTGCAAGACAAGTTGATTCTCGGTGACTGGGGCATCGACATCGTCAAGCCAATCGACAATGTTTCGAAAGCGTCTGACATTACGTAGCAATAGTAGATCTTCCTTTGACGGTGTTGAAGAATTGTTGCTCCAATTGCATGGCTCTTGCCGCCTTGTTATCGTGAAACAAGTTATGAATCGATTTCCAAAGATCGGCGGCGGATGTGGTGGAAGAGATGATGAGATCCGATACCTCGTCGTTGACGGTGGAGAGAATCCATCCTTAAATAAGGGCATCTAGTTGGAGCCATTCGTCGTCATCCTTTCCGGTTGAGGTTTTCTCACCAGTGAGGAAGCCTTCAAGGTTGAAACGTCGAACCAAAAGAAAGAAAAGGCGGCTCCATTTTTTGTAGTTTGGCTCCGAAAAACTGAGGGTAATAGGAACCTGGAGTTTGACGTTAGAGATTGTTGTGAAAGCAAGATGGGGGTAGGTGAGGGGGTGTTTGATTTTTCCGAAGCCATAGAGAAGAGTTGTGGGGGGTTGTTTTAGAGAGAGAGTGGCGTGAGGGGCTGCCGGCGGGATGTAGGGGCTGCCGTGAGAGAGAGAGAGGCGGCGGTAGAGAGTGCAACGCCGGGAAGAAGAAGGTTTCGGGGTTAGCCGAGAGTAGGATCTGATACCATGAAAAATTATTATTTTCTCTGATTAATACAATGATTCTACCTCCCTTTATATACAAAGTGGAGGGGTTTACAATAAGGAAACAATATTATATATGGAGCCTATACAATTATGGTATGAATTATAATTGATACAAGGAATATACTTAACATATATAATAAATATGCTTAAAATATTTAATATTATTATTTTTACTTCGTACATAATATTTTATTTTTTATTTTCTTTTGTAACATTATCCAAAAAAATCTTTTGTTTTCAAAAGTTCATTCTGAAAAATTACAATTTGAGATGGGAAATGTATATTTTATTTTATATATTCGTATAATAAAGGAAAATAAAATTGGAAAATTGGAAAATAAAATTGAAAAAGGTTTTAATTCAAAAAATAGGAAAAAGGGAGATGCGAAAAAAACGGAGCACGCCTCCTCACCCTCCTTCTGTCCCTCTCTGTATATGTATATATAGGTATAAATATATATCGAGAATGCCATACCAGAAACCAAACAGAAAGAAAGTGGAGGGAAAATGGCGAATGAGAAAGTTGTGGCGAAGAACTCCAGCAAGGTGGAGGCGGCGATCGGAGCAATCACCGGAACATCATCTGGAGCGCCGGAATTGGGAGAGACTTTTGCAGCGCTAAGAGCTTCTGAGAAATTGGTGTCTGCCAGATCATCATCTGCTTCTAAAGTAGAAGAAGGTCTGAAACTCAAAGTTGTGGCGAAGAACTCTAGTAAGGCTGCGATCGGAGCAATTGCCAGAACATCATTTGGAGCGCCAGAATTGGGAAAGACTTCTGCAGCGCTAGAAGATTCTGAGAAATTGGTGTCTGCCGAATCATCATCTGCCTCTGAAATAGAAGATCTGAAACTCAGAGAGATTGAAACTAATAAGGCGTTATGGGAGATCAGAATGAGAGAGAGCTTCGCTAAGATCACCAGACATCAGCCAGCTAGAGCGACAGACTCACCTCACTTGTTTCGCGAGAAACGGGCGGCGCCTGTGAAGGAAAGGCTCTAAAAAAAAATAAAGCGAGAGGAAAGGGGGACGAACCGCCAGCAACGTCGACTGAACCTTCTCTGTTCAGTCCTTCCGTTATGATATATAGATGTTGCATCTCCGTCCGAGCGCTGCAGATCAGCGCTGCAGATCGGCCGTAATAGAGAGGCCGGAGCTTTTCACAATTTCTCGTCTGCGACCGATCCGTACGTACGTATATACCGCACCAGCTTATTTTAGACTATATATATTCATATACCTAGCTGCTTTTCTACCGGTTTTCTACTGTCGAGCATCCATATCATATCCATGCCACCACACCACTGGAGAGACGCATCCATCACTGCACATCATCAACAAATCCATCCTATGCTCGTATCTACTACTATCTGAGCTCTCTCATCTCTCGGTGTTTGCTTGTGTTTGTTATTTCTTTTTTGAAGTGGATTAACAGTTTACTCTTGTATTTTTACTGGAATTTCATATTGATGATGAGATAATTCATCATATCGGTGCATGTATGTCGTTGTCTTTTCAAACAGTGATATGGCGTATTGTATGGAATCCTGCTTCTTAATTGAATGTCTATATCTACAATTGTTGTTCAAACTCGATCGTCTTCTTCCCTGTTGATCGAGAGGACAGAGTTCTATCGCTCTGCTCTGCTCTCCAACTGTTTTTCTTATTCATTCGGTTGAATTGGGTGGTAGATGGACTTGTTTCTCTCTTTCTCTCTCTCCCTCTCTTTTCCCGTCAATATTTACTAATAAACATTTTTAATTTGATATACTCCGTATTAGTTAAATAAAATTTAAAATCACACACTTTCAATTTTCATCAAATTTATCTTCCTATTACCTTATTCGGATACGTGTATAACACCTTTATTCGTGCGTTCGTGCATAATATGAGTCACATTTTAAAAATACGTCTTATTATCATACTCTTTATACATTCGGGGTACGTATACGGACACGTTCCTGTTTTATACGTTTGATTTCTCAAAAATACGGCTTATAACTAGTACATATATTTTTAATAAGCAAAACAGTTTTAACAATGACATTGAATACAAATACACCATAATTATTTTAAAAAATCAATCAATACTATGATTTTTTGTTCATTCATATTTTTCATGTGTATCCAACTGATATCTTTCAATAAATTATTATTATGTACGTTCACAAAATATTAGAACACGTTAAAAATGAAATTAACATTTAGATACGAATGGAGCATTTGCTCAAACACGCGATAAAAAAAGTCATCTCTCTCTACCGCAGTTTTAGCTACGGCCGTCGAAACCATCTAAATTATCCATTGGTGTAAATTAAAGAAAATAATCAAGTAAATTAATCTGATAAAAAAATGACCATAAAAATTTTGATTGTTGGAGTCAAAAGAAGTAGTTTTTTACGATTTAATACGTATAAAATTCGTAAATAGGTTTAGGGTCAAAAATATATGTATTATACGTTTGTCACTTGAAAAGTTTGTATTAGGGAGTGATGGATATAATCCACTAGTACCACCCGGTAAATTCACAGGCGCCCGTGGGTACCAAATTCTGGCCCTCATATGACCTCACCAACCCTGGTATACTGACCGGATGGATGTGGGGGTCAGACATATGAGATCGTGACTTCATTCGCAGAGAAGGCTTGAAGACCGCCCGGGTGGATGGCTTGAAGATGCCCGGGTGGATGACCTGAAGACTGCTCGGGTGGATGATCTAAAGACTGCCCGGGTGGATGACCTGAAGACTACCCGGGTGGATAACCTAAAGACTGCCCAGGTGGATGGCTTGGAAACTGGATGGCTTGAAGACTGACTGGTCGGAAGAACACGAATGTCAGGACGTGCTTATTTTTATTATAAATACCCCTAAAAGCCTCATTTGTGAGGCATGTTTTTATTAATCTACACGGCTTTTGCTTTGTAAAAGATCCTATTATCATTAATAACAAATCGGGTTACAGGTGTTTCCATCTACAACCCTTCCGATTATTTGTACTTAGCATTTGCATGGTATTTACACCATCAAATTAGTGCCGACCGTGGGACCCCTTTACAAAAAGAAGCCATGACGAACGACAATATGGAATCCATCATTTCCCAGGCTTCCACCCCAGCGGAGGGCGTTACCCCTGATCCCGAGAGGAATCACATCATTACCTTCTCTTTTCTCCCCCATGATAACCACCTTCACTACTTAAACAACGCCGAATCAGGCTTTCCAGAGCTTTGGACAATTTATGCTCATTGTCCCACTCAGGGGATTTACTCTTTTCATCCCTGAGATGTATCCCCATACTTTGGCTCAAAATATATCTCTTCCTAACACGTTGGGGCATCCCCCGTCGTTTCAACCAGCCAGTACCACCTGGTCAGTCATCCCGACGAAACCACCCGGGGAGCTAGAAAGGGCAGGCCCTTCTCGGTCTAGGAGGAGCAGATCCCACAAGCTCCACACTCAGGTCACACCCGACGAGTACGTGTACTCTGTGTGCAGCAGGGATGAAGACTGGGATAATCCCAGGGGCCAGAAAGTGTCTGGACAGCGAACTTCTATGAATTCTACGCAGCCCAAGTAGTAGCGTGAATAGCCCGGTCGGAGCGCTCCCTCTCTAGGTCAGCCTTTAGCTGGGCATTCTCCACCTCTAGCTGACCCATGTGCCCGGCCTTCATCCGGAGCTTCTCATCTGTCAAGCACCTGACCAGCTGGGTGGCCCACTCCTGCCCGATCCGGGAAGAGGAAACGACGCGATGACTAGGCGGCGTACCAAATTTCCAGAAAAACTTTCCCGCCAACCACACCCGAGGATTCAAAAAATTCAAAATTATTCAGACACTTGATTCCCGCCCTTGATGGTGCTCACAAAGCCGAGAATCGTAGGACTCCTTGATGGATATAATCCACTAATACCACCCAGTAAATTCACAAGCGCCCGGGGGTACCAAATTCTAGCCCCCACAAAACCTCACCAACCCTGGTATACTGACCGGGTGGATGTGGGGGTGGGGGTCAGACATGTGAGATCGTGACTTCATTCGCAGAGAAGGCTTGAAGACCGCATGGGTGGATGGCTTGAAGACTGCCCGGGTGGATGACCTGAAGACTACCCTGGTGGATGACCTGAAGACTGCCCGGGTGGATGACGTGAAGACTACCCAGGTGGATGACCTGAAGACTGCCCGGGTGGATGGCTTGGAAACTGGATGGCTTGAAGACTGACCGGCCAGAAGAACAGGAATGTCGGGACTTGCTTGACGTGCTTGTTTTTATTATAAATACCCTAAAAGCCTCATTTGTGAGGCATGCTTTTATTAACCTACACGGCTTGTGCTTTGTAAAAGATCCTATTATCATTAATAACAAACCGGGTTACAGGTGTTTCCACCTACAACCCTTCCGATTATTTGTTCTTAGCATTTGCGTGGTAATTTACACCATCAGGGAGTATAATACGCGTATTATACGTACTAGTGTAAAATTCGTGTATTATACGCGAATTAGCTAACAGAGCTTCCTACTAGTTTCAAAATATTACATTGTCAAATTAATCTACTGCGTCATTTTTATTGAAACACACATACACAACTCGACAAACATACTCCCTCCGTCATTCCCACATATATTGCCCATTTACTATTTGCATGGTCAAACTCTATTCACTTTATGTTTCTCTATTTGCGCTAGTCCTTTATTCCTTTCAGACCTCCAACCAAGTACCTCTCAATTTCTTTATTTTCGATAAATCATCCCTATTACACTCAACTCCCACCCTCAAATCGATCATATCCATCTCAAACTCCTTACAAAAATTCACTTCCCATTTAAAGTAAAACCCACCTTAGGCATCTCTCTCAAATCTTAAATCTGAGACTAATCTGAGTTTAGTGTCTTTCAAGTATTGTGGAATATAACAATTTCATACCACTTGTGCATGTCACGAGTTAAAATACTAATTTAACTATATAAGAGATTTTCTTTAAATGCTAAAAGGTATATTACTCCGTATAATTCAATATTTGTTCATACATTCTCAATTTATTAAAGGTCGTAGAGTTACTGTTCATACTGAAGATTAAACATGTGACCTCTCATTAGAGAAAGTGATAACGGTGTCTACCTCTGCTGAATTTGAACTTTTCATTCACTTTTATTTATTCATCTGGATTTAATCTTCCTATTGTTATATACTCCCTTCGTCCTAGAGTATTTGTCCACTTTCATTTTTACACACCATCCAATAGACTTTTTAGATCTATGTTATCTTGTAATTTGTATATTAAAAAATTATAGAAATTATATATTAATAATCTATATGTTAAGACAAATCAAACAAGATCACACATGACTATATTTAGGCTTACACATTGAGAGAATTTGATGAATCAAAGTGCTTAGATTAAAAGTTCCAAAAGTCAAAAGTGGACGAATATAGGTATGTAGTATACCTACGGAGTATTTTATTTCCTAATACATCTATTATTATTAATATGAATGTTTTTTTTTTCAAAAGATATAGATCGATCCACTAGAGCCCTCTTTCCTCGTACCTTATATATTGCCGATCGAGGGAGACGGAGCGCCTCCGCCCTCTTCTTTCCGAAGGCAACAAGACGATCATTCCGAAGGCAGAAAGAGGAATTCGAATGAAGTTCCGGTTGAAATCAGAACAGGCCCAGATTCCACCAAACTAGCAGATTCAATTAATAGAGGTGAATTACTGTTGCTCGTCTGCTAAAGTTTTCAGTTTTAAAAGCTTTATTAGGAAGGCCGGTCCAATGGTGGGAGAACTCGGAGAAGTATCGCCGCCGCGAGAGGGTGAATTTGGCTACCACTCGGAAGATATGGAAATTCCTTCTGCAGGCGAAGGAGAAGTATCACCTCCGGCAAGCCCATGTCCCTGGCTGGTGTTTGACGACGGCGAAGGTTACAAAACACAAACTTTTTGCTGCAACATTACAGGACCACCTTCCTCCTCGGTCAAGATGTATCCCAAGAGAATCCCAGTTTTGCAAAACAAAAAGGTTGTTTGTTGTTCCCATGGCAAGCTAGTTTTGTGGGATGTTGATACCAAATTGCTGTCACTCTGCAATTCCACCACCTTTGATGACATTGTATCCCTTCCTAGTTTGCATCACTTGTCAAATTACGGGATTGATACTTGTCTGCTACTCGACTGTCTCTTTGACAATAAGTTGGATGATCTCATGGTTGTAATATTCTTGGAAAGTTTTCCATCCATAGTGTGCTGTTCAGTTGGTTCTGGAAGTGAGTGGAGTGAAATAGCATACGGGGAGCAGTTGAATGCTTATTTTCCTGATGACCTCATAGAAAAGTTTGAATGTGCTGGAGTCGGACCTCTCTTTTTTAGTAGGGCAGCAGTTATTTGTGACAGTATACTGATTGTCAATCTTCAAATAAAACGGCGTGATTGTTTCTTCCTTACGTGGGTGATAGAGATTGTTGAGGAAGAAGAACGACTGGGACTGGTGTTTTTTTGTCCTGTGGGTGTGCCTAATGGTACATTTCGAGGACCACAGACTCCTATAAATGTGTATTTGTTGGAATCTTGTGGGGAAATCTTCTGTTTATATTTTTTCACTAAAGCTCTAGCCTTTGAGGTCTACAGACTGAATTTTGATGACCTGGTCTTTGAGAGAGTTAAAGAAGTAAGGGACATAGCGTTCTTTGTTGGGGAGAGGTATTGTCTGTCCTGTCCTATATCAGGACCAGGTCTCATATACTTCACCACCTACGGTGACACCGATAATTTATATTGCTTCTACACACATGATGATAGCATTATGACGTCTCCCCTTCCTTGTCCATTGCTTTCTTCTCCAACTTGGATGTTTTGCAATGTTATGGCTCATGACATGCCTCTCAGGCTGGAAGAAAATCATTGCAACAAAGGCATCATCAGCAAGCAAGGAAAAAACAGCACCACTCAATCAATATGGGAGTTTGATGAGAATGGAGAGCAAGGCAAAAGACTTCGTGACCTTCCTTTGGATATGTTTGAAGAAGTTTCCAAGCATCTCGTAGCATTTGATTACCTGAGTTTTCGAGCTGCGAGTAAAATCTTCCGTTCTGTTGCCCCTCCAATCAGTTGGAGAAGAGCATTGTCAGATGGATTGGGAGCTTATAATTTCTCTTGTCCATTGCTCATGTTTGCCAACAGAGCTGAAAATGTTTACAAATTTGTAGATCCCAATATAAACAGCAGCAGTTATAATTATTACCTGATGAGGATCCCCGATTCTCTTAAAAATCCGACAACCATCTGTTATTCACATCAAGGCTGGTTGCTTTTGTTGGAACCTCTGCGTGCCATTCATCTCTACAACCCGTTTACCCGGGATATCATCAGTTGCAACCGTAGGTACGGGGAGGGGGTTGAGGAGAGCACATTTTTCTATTCAAGGCCATCTGCTATTACTACTTCTAATGGCGATTGTCCAATCATTAGCGTTGGTTTCTTTGAGGAGAAGAAAACTATGGTTAAAGTGATCAGCACCCGCCCCGGGGATGAAATTGTGAGGCATTTTGATGTGGAAAGCAATAGGGTTTTCAAGGTGGAAAGCCATCTGACAAGCCCGGCCTTGTTCCAAGATGCTTTCTATTACTTAGATAAGCAGGGACGTCTTGGAAAGCTTAAAATAACAGATTTGTCATTGGGAGACAACTTGAGCTGGGAAGTTCTTGACAAACCCCAATGCCCAGATGGGCTTATTGATTCTTCATATCACAACTACCTGGTGGAGAGCGGCGGGGAGCTGATTTCGGTGTTTGTTGGGCATTTGGGTAAATGGGTTTCGGTTTACAGGCTGAATGGTGACGAAGAGGCTTGGGAAACGGTCACGGATCTGGGCGGGTACGACTTGTACCTCAGCCCATGTTCATCCTTGTCTGCTTTGACAAAGACAAGGGGAGGGAACAGAATCTATTGCCCTTGGCTTCGTGGTTCTGAAATTGTGTTCTTCTCTCTGGACACTGGCAAATGGCATTTCTCAGGGAGCAGAGATTCATCGTGTGATCTTTACGGTACAAGAATGCACCTCAACTCATGTTGGGTTATGCCCACTTGGTAGTTTATTTATTTATATGCATACACATTGTAACTTTGGGGGTGTTCATTGCACACATTCTTATTGAATTTGTTTACATCACAGTGACATTAATAACCACTATTTCAGTCCTTGCTTCAAACTATGTAATATACCTAATCTGTTTGTTAAGGGTAGTTATGCTACTTTGATGCCCTGGCTTCAAACTATCTAATCATACCTAATCTGTTTGTTAAGGGTAGTTATGAAAGAGATCTAATTAGCTTTGTTAAAACACTTCATGTCTGGTCACCAATTATGCTATGAATTGAAAGAGTACATATAGACGAGGAGATTCTTTCCACTGTCAAATCTCATCTTCTTGGCGAGCAAGGGATGATTACCTCAATTCAACCCATACAGAGGAAGCTTATGGAAAAAAGTCCAACTTGAGGGAGGGACTTTTAAGAAATTGTATTCTTTGAAATCTAAATGGAATTCTTGTGTTAGAGAGAGCCAAAAAAAAGGACCTGGAATTACAATTTCATGTTTGAAAGAAAACATTTGGTAGTATGTGATTGGTTTTTATTTAACAAAGAACGGAAGAAAAATGTAGTAGTCCAGTTACAATATTAAACTGTTAGCATTAAAGCGTGATTTTCGAATTAGAGCATTTAAGATAATTACACATTGTTTTTCTCTATCAAGTACTTATGGTACATGTTGATGTTGAACCATATTACTTCATCCAGAATGTGAAGTCACTTATCTTCTGCCTTAGAATTCTAAATTTTAAATTCATAACTTGAACCATGTGTATCAAAGAGAACTTGATTTTTTTAAATGAATATATTTGCCACCTTCCTAAATTTCAAATTCTGAAGATAAATCACAAGTGCACGGAGTAATAAGCAATTTCAAGCATACATCCTGGGACACAATGAACATGTGTTCAAGTTTCTTTCAAGTTAAAAGGTTTTTCACCAAACATTTAATTTACAAGAAGTATCACACAATAACAGAGACTGCAGTGTTGAACGAAGATATGAACTCAGCTGAAATCCAAATGCTCAATGATCTCAAAATGCATCTGTATGTCCGGAGGCATGTCGCCGAAATACAGCCTCTCGCGAATATACAATTTCCCCTAGTTCGTTTCATATATTTTGTTCACTTCTAAAAACGAATATATGGATATATTCTGCAAAGATGAACTTCACCTACGGGCTGACATGCCATTTTCTGGAACAGACTAGAATCCCAATTTAAATGTAGAAGTCAGTTATTCTTGTTTCAAAAGAAGCCTAATAGAAGATGTGATGAGAAAGAGAGAAAAAAAAGGAGTAAACTAATTAGTACAATACAGAGAATGTACTTGAATAAAAGATTAAAAGTTTCATGTTTTTATTGTCAAAATAGAATTTACAATGCCAAAACAATGTTAATCATATCTATATATAATGTAAAAAAATATGGTGAAATGTTAATATACAGTGTCATATTATTACAAGACAAATTTTGGAAATAAAAACATAAAGCTCATTTTTTGATCTATATATTTATCTTATTTAGGGTCATTTTTTAAAGAAAAAAGTTGATGTGATACTGAGTTGACAAAAAATAATGATAGTCTAAAATGATGTTTAGTTATTTTTTTTGCCTTCTTCATTCATAAGTACTCTCCATCATTTAAGTAAATTTAAAAAAACAAAACAGAGGTATATCATTTTCTTTTCACCTTAGGGCCATTTGTGTGGATTCTTCCATAACGCCCATCACACCATTTCACTAACCATCATTCATCCACATGTAACTTTTATCTTTCACATCACACCTAACGTGTCTGGATCATGTCCAATTTTTTTCATTCATTAAAATCAAAATTAATAAAAATAACAACATTATATAAATATCTAATTATCATTAAAATTTACATTGGCATAAAGCAAAAAAAGAGCCATGTAGGATGGAAAAAGTACAAGTACTCAATTAAAAAAAGAAATATTTGCACTAAATAGCACTAAAGCTTAAGTCATTTCTCTAAATAGACAATAATGTTTTATAATAAAAAACTACTCATGAGAAGTATCAAACAATTTTCCTCTAGAGTGTCTGGTTATCCATCTCCAACGTGATTGTCCGATCTCTAAAGATTTCCTTGAGCCAGCTGAGTGCTTTCCGTACCTCGATTGCATCCACCATGCAAGCATCCCCTACCTAGCCTAGTCCTTGGGACGCTTCCTTCACGAATCGTGCATTGCTATCTCTCACTCACCAGATGTGTGTTAGGGTTAAAAATCGCGTCCACATTTCACATGTTGTTGTGTGAAGTTCGTGTCATTACTACCTTGGGATCTTCTTTATTTGTGTTGAAATATTGGAATAATAATACTGCTCTTGAATTATGAAGTACATGATAGAGTATATATAGGAGATACTTCTAACACAACTAGGAATAGAGAAAGAAAACTAAATAACATACAACATCTACCACAAATAGGAATAGGAAGTTGACTAATAATGAAACACTACCATTACCAATACTACAAGAAGTACTATTAGTATTATTGTCTAACATCTCCCCTCAAGCTGAACTCTGGCTGAAGCAAAAGGAAGCTTGAACACTAGCTAGAAACTGGAAACTTTGAGAAAAGAGAAGTCTGACATGCGCCGGTGGCTGCTCACGTCGTTGGAGAAGAGAGAAGTGTGTCGTGCGCCGGTGGCTGCTGGCGTCGTTGGAGAAGAGAGAAGTATGACGCGCGCCGGTGGCTGCTGACGTCCTTAGAGAAGAGAGAAGTCTGACGTGCACTGGTAGCTGCTAACGTCGTTGGAGAAGAGAGAGAAGTTGACTTGCGCTAGTAGCTAGCTGCTGACGTCGATGAAGAAGAGAGAATGTTGACGTGCGCTTATAGCTGCTGACGCCGAAGAAGAATAGAGAAGGCTACTGGAGGTGCCTGTTTGACTGAAGATCCTTGACGTTTTTTTGTCTTTTTCTTGGATCCGGGCAATGCCCTATTTCCTTCTTGAAGGGGTGAGTTGTAGAGGTCTTATTTCCTCTTTCGGCTTTGGTTTTGTGCTGATTTACTTTAGATTTTTATTGGTTCAACAGAAGAGAAAGAGAAGGGAGGTTGATGATTAGAATGAGTGATTTAGAGAAAAAAAGTAGGTTAAGAATTGGTGATGGAAAAAAAATTGGGTTTGAGATTTTGATATGGTGAATTGGAGAGAAACAACAATCATTTATTTTTTTTCCTTTTTTGAGAAGATAGGATGATCTGAGAGAGTTTGTGAGGAGTTGGGTTTTTTTTAAGAATCATGGAGATGGCAAGAGGGAAGCTCCTCCTTTGACCGATTTTTTTTGTGATTTCAACACAGGAATTTTTTTTCTTTTTTTTGAATGGAGAAGTTAATTTGAGAATAAAAGAAGGGAAAAAAATAGATGTGAAGAAGGTGGAGCCTCCGTCGCCGGAAATACCGGCGGCGGCAGTGGGACGTGGGAGCAAAGATCTTTTTTTTTAGGTCGCCAAGAGCGGTGGCTCTGATACCATGTTGAAATATTGGAATAATAATACTGCTCTTGAATTATGAAGTACATGATAGAGTATATATAGGAGAGACTCCTAACACAACTAGGAATAGAGAAAGAAAACTAAATAACATACAACATCTACCACAAATAGGAATATGAAGTTGACTAATAATGAAACACTACCATTACCAATACTACAAGAAGTACTATTAGTATTATTGTTTAACAATTTGCATTATGCCACGAATGACACCACTATAGTGTTTGAGTGATTAGGGTCTTCGGTTGCATGTATTTGTTATTCCACACCAATTATGCCAATTCCAAATCTCCAAAAGGTTGATTGCACCCGTGCAACAACAACCCCCCCCACCCCCGCAATATTTCTCATCATAGAGCCACGAACCACTCTGCAAATGAAGGTTCTACATAGTCACGTTCGTCTCTAAAATGACTTTATGTTTTATTTTTTGCGCATTCAAATATATGTATTTACATATCTATAGTACTTAGAATTTACCTTATTTCTCCTCTATTACAGGTAGAAAATGTTTTTTAAAATATTTTAGATGAGAGAAAGTGTTTTATAAGATGTTATTATATATAAAAGTTACTACGTATTTCGGAAGTACTTTAGTTGGTAAAAGTATTTTATAAAATAGGTAAAAAAAAATGAAGGAAAAAATGCCCAAAATAATTCCAACTTTACTCGATCTTTCAAAAATAATTCCACCTTTCACTGTGATGCATAATAATCACAACTTTATTGAAATTTGTCAATTTTGGGTCACCGTTAAGTTTCTAACGGAGGGTTAACGGAAATGCTTGTTTTAGGCAACAAAATGAAAGTTGGGATTATTTTTGATGAATTTTCATTTTTTTTTATTTTTTATAAATTTTTATTTAAATTTTTTGAATTACTTTCAACCTCCATTTCTTTTTCTTTTTTAAAGATTATTCTTACCTTAGAAAAAAATTGATATAAAAAATAATGAAAATGAGAAAAATAACTAAAACCATACAAAATTAATCAAATAAATAATGTAATCAATATAAATTAAACAAAAACTGGTAAGAAATAAAATAAATATATACGGAGTGGTGGGTTTTAACATTTTACACATTATACGGAGTCTTAATGTACGACTTCTTTTTTAAAAGAACAAGCCGTCCGGTAAAGTTGGAATTATTGTAGATAAGTTTTTTCTAAAAAATAAGAAGTGATATGTTAATACTTTGTATAATGCGTAAAATATTAAAACCCACCCGTATATTTTTATTTTACTTTTACCAATTTCAAGTTAGTTTCCATTGATTACCTTATTTATTTTATTATTTTTGTATCATTTTAGTTACATTTCTCATTTTTTTCATTTTTTTATATCTATTATTTTTATTTTTTAAACTAAGACAAATCTTTAAAAAAGGAAAAAGAAATGATGATGGAGGTAGAAAGTAATTTAAAAAAATTAAATGAAAAATTTAAAAAAATAAAAAAAATGAAAATTCATCAAAAATAATCCCAACTTTCATTTTGTTGCCTAAAACGGGCATTTTCGTTAACCCACCGTTAGAAACTTAAAGGTGACCCAAAACTGACAAATTTTAGTAAAGTTAGGATTATTATGCATTACAGTGAAATGTAAGATTATTTTTGAAAGACCGAGTAAAATTAGGATTATTTTGGGTAATTTTTCCAAAAATGAAACAAAATTGCTATGAAGGCATTAGGGATGAAGCTTTTTGCACTCAAATTCGTTACTTGCTATGGAACAGAAATGGGTCAATGAGTGGCCAAGAAACCACCACAGGGCGGCTATGGAGCGACTTAGAGAGAAGATGCCTCTCTCTCCTCAAGCGGCGGAACAACACCACGGCATCTCTCCTCCAACTTCTCGCCTTCATCCTACGAAACTCCCTGGAGACCAACGTCAACCTCTTCACCAATCTCGTCACCGCCTTCCCCTCTGCCGACCGGATCGCCGGAATCTACTACTCCCGCCGCTTGTTCGACGGATCTCCCCGGAAAGACGACAGCTTTCTCTGCAACACTATGATAAAATCATATCTTGACACGGGATACGTCATGGATGCTATGGTTTTCTACAGGAATTTGATGGGGAACACGGGGTTTAAGCCTGACAACTACACCTTCTCGAGCTTGGCGAAGTGTTGTTCCTTGAAAGTAGCCTTCTGGGACGGCCTGGGTGTCCATAATCATGCATTGAAGTGCGGGGTTGTTTCCAATTTGTATGTGGCAACGTCTCTGGTCGACATGTATGGCAAGCTTGGGCGCATTGATTTTGCGCAGAAGGTGTTTGATGAAATGACTGAGAGGAGTTCTGTTTCGTGGACTGCTCTCATAGGAGGATACATGAGGTGTGGTGATATGGGTATTGCAAAGAAGCTTTTTTGCTTGAACCCGGAGAAGGACACTGCAGCTTTTAATATGATGATTGATGCTTTTTTGAAGCTGGGAGATATGGAGTCAGCAGAGAGCTTATTTGCTGAAATGCCATCAAGAAATGTGGTGACCTGGACCAGCATGATCGATGGGTACTGCACTACAGGCAGCATTACAGAAGCAAGACGTCTATTTGATATGATGCCTGAAAAGAACATATGTTCTTGGAATGCAATGATTGGTGGGTACAGTCAAAACAAGCAACCGCATGAGGCATTGAGGTTGTTCCATGAATTGAGGACGATGACTAATTTGGAGATGGATGATGTCACGGCTGTCAGCGTGCTTCCAGCTATTGCTGAACTGGGTGCTTTAGATTTGGGCATCTCGGTTCACCACATTGTGAAGGCAAAGAAACTGGACAGAAGAAACCCAAATGTTTCCACTGCACTGGTCGATATGTATGCCAAGTGCGGTGAAATAGGAAAAGCCACAAGATTTTTCAATGAAATGCAGACCGGTAAAGTGGCATCCACTTGGAATGCCATGATAAACGGATTGGCAGTAAACGGATGTGCTGAGGAAGCATTGGAAGTATTCAAACAAATGACAAGCAGTGGGTGCAAACCGAACAACATAACCATGCTAGGTGTTTTGTCAGCTTGCAACCACGCCGGGTTGGTTGAAGAAGGAAAGAGGTGGTTCAGAGCAATGGAGAAATATGGGGTTACACCCGAGATCGAACACTACGGTTGTTTGGTTGATCTTTTAGGAAGGGCAGGACATTTGGAAGAAGCTGAGAGATTGGTGGAGCGCATGCCGTATGAGGCTAATGGGGTAATTCTCAGTTCTTTTCTGTTTGCCTGTGGATATGCAAAGGACGTGACGAGGGCAGAGAAGTTGAAGGATAAGGCGATTGAGTTGGAGCCGTGGAACAGTGGGATTTATGTTATGATGAGGAATATGTATGCTAAAGAGAAGAGATGGAAGGATGTTAGAGAAGTGAAGGGATTGATGAGGGAAATGGGGGCAAAGAAAGAGGCTGGTTGCAGTGCTGTTGAAGTTGATGGTGAGGTTTGGGAGTTTGTAGCTGGGGATAATAAGGTAAATCCTCATTGTGAGGATATTTATTTGCTCCTGGAGCACTTGCAGATGTGCATGAAGATGCAAGCAATGCAGGACACACCATTTCAATCTGATTGACTATTATTTGTCCAAAGAGTAATTCACTTTTACTATTTGAGTCTCTCGATAACTTTTGTGTACTCAGATAGTCAGGTGTTTTTTTTGTTAATTTGATCATTCATGCAAAACATGTTTAATATTAATTGAACAACGAATGTTGTATCCCCAATGTCTTAGTAGAATATTCATTCAATTTGACTTTTTTTATTCTCAACCAAACTTGACAAACTTTGATCACAAAATTAAGCAACAATGCATCATGTAACATATGACTTTAGTCTCAAAAAGACATTTATATTATATAAGACCAAGTCCAACCACATGTTCAACCATGAATACTTTTTTTTAAAAATGAAAGGATTATGGGTGTCTGTTCTTCTCCCATGAAGAAGAGTTGCTATAGTCCACCTAAAATACATACAATACAAAGAACACACTCCAAACACACAGGAGGTGTACGGACATCAACCAAAAACACAAAACCAGAAAATCGTATAAGTATAAATATATATATAGAACTGGGGAGCAGCAGCCACCGGCTTAGTGTATGCGTGAAGTATCGGTATGATGCTGCTCCAAGTTGCGCAGTACAATTCTGGCAAATATTTTGGCTTCAAGCGGCGCACTTGCAGATGCGGCTGCTGCACGCAGAATCCGCGACGCACCCGGGCTCTGCAACAGGCTCACATGGTGCATCGCATGACGCCCACTTGGAATTGTGAACTGCATGCAAATGATGTGAACCAATGCCATTGGAGAGCATAAATTATACGTAGTATTACTGTTAAGTTTTTAATAAGTTCACTCTTTAAGTTTGTAATGATAAGTCATATTCCCAAGTCCCTAACTTTATGGAGAGAGGAGGACAAATCGTTCTTGAGAAGCGATCATATAATGGAGAGAGGAGGATGAATCGTTCTTGTACCTGAAGAAGAGCAAATGCGGCGCATGCCTTGAGAATAGAAGATGGATTTTGAAGCATTTTGACAAATCTTCCAATCTCCGCGCCACTACAAACACCAAAGAGAAACCAAAATGGAACACTTGTGTATGGGGAATGCATACATTGCCAACAACAGATTCAAGAACCAAGATATAGCAAAAACCTGCATCTAAGATGGCCGGCTTCATGAATCCATACAGAATCAATAACATGAAACAGAGCAGTAGGGGAGGAAGAAGCAGCAGCAGCAGCGAATGATTGTGGCTCAGAGAATGCAAGCACAAAAGCTTCAATGTGCTTCAAAGCCATTCTTTTAGCTCCATGCAAATTCACACTACTCTTTGATGAGCTCTCTGATGAGCCGCTCCCTATAACTGCCACTTCATCCATTCTGTAAAAATTTACAGGGAATTAAAATTACTACTGTAAAAACCCTTTTTTGAATAGAGGGGTGCGATAAGTTTACCTTCCATCGAATATATATGCTAACGCCAACGAAGCCATGAAACGAGCCATTTTAGAGATAGAGGTAGAGCAAAGATGAACTAGGGCGGGAACACCCCCTTCCTCTACTATTCGAAGAGCATTGCCAGAATTGAAGGCAAGGTTCCAAAGAGCTCCAGCTGCCGTCTCATGTACGTCCTGAAACAACACAAATGCATACCAGGTTCAGTATAGAGGATCCAAGGAGGAGTAAACCAGAATTCTGGATGTACAAGCTGAGTCCATTCCATAAATCTAAAGTTTCAAAATCATTTGGTGTTGCAAGAAATCATAGCATTCATGGATTTATTTACTCCGTATAAAACTGTGCTTAATGCACTGTATTATTTATTACACAATATAAATTCCTTTTGTCCATCATAAACGCAAAATTATATTATGTTTCAACTGTTTAACAAGCATAATAAAATGAACATTAATCCAGAAAAACATTCAATTACATTTTAGAAAACTGTTTCTGGAATCTGGGTCTTTGTAAACTAGAAATGATGTAACTTTTGGAAGAATATTACTCCCTCTGTCCTAGTAAAAGCTTCCACATTTTATTTTTTGATTGTCCTAAAAAATGGTTAATTTTACAGAAAACTCAACCCACAATTCGAACTATCTTAATAACTACTCCCTCTGTTCCTTATCTTTCTTCCATTTATCCTTTTTGGGCAGTCTCATATCTTTCTTTCTCTTTCCTTAAATGGCAAAAAAATACAGCAAAAAGATATCTTTATCCCTTTTTCTTAAATCACCAATCTGAATTCCATCGAGACTACATTTCAATCGTGGCTCCATCTTTACCCCTCTTCCCAAATCTTTCATTAATCCTTTCAATCGAAACTCCATTTCAAGACAAAATCACTTCCTCTAATCGTCTTCTTGGCCTTCAACCATTGATTTTACTGAAAATCTAGCTCAGATTCTTCTTCCATGATTCATTCATCTCTACCTCTTTCTTTGATGGTGGCAGATCTGCAGTACTGCTTGTAGAATCATCATCGACCAGGGGAAGAGCAAACTGTTGGGATGTGATTGGGGCAAATGAAACATCCGCAGGTGGAAGACGGACAGTGTTTTTTAGTAGACAGGCACAGTGTTATTTGCTTAAAAACAAATGATTACTCAAGGAGGGCAAAATAGGAAAATAAACTAAATTTATATCTTAGAATTAAAGCCTGTGCCAAGTCAAACGTGGAAGATATAGGAGGAAGAAAAAGAAGGAACATAGGGAGTAGAAAAAGAAGAAACTAAACTATTCCTTTCAGCAAAATGAAAGTTTACCTCAGCTTCAGATCTTGCCAATGCTATAAGTGGTGGTACTCCACCTTCTCGTCCAATAGCAATACTAGTGGAACAACATACACACAAAACACAGTGAACCAATCAATCAATGAATATGTATTTGAGAGCAGGGCTCTAAAAGGAAAGAAAACTTGACCCTATTTGAACCATCAAAAAGCACAAATAATATCATCTATGGGGTGATAACAAAATATCATTTGTAGCATATTATATTAATGGCTTGTGTAACTTCTTAAAATTTTGGTAACAAAAAACTTTCAAAATAATGTACCTATTTGTTTCTGACACAGACATGCCCCAAAGAGCACCAGCAGCTCTCTCCTGAAGGGCAGGAGAAGCATCTGAACACGATTTCGCGAGAGCAACCTAAAATAAAAAGAAATTTATAAAACTTAGAAAATGAAGATATAAGGCATTCCTTAAGAACATAAGTTAAATGCACCTATGGTAGCTTACTACTTCTAACATTGGATTCTTGGCACAAAATTCATGATCTTTCCTTTCGGGAGAGGGCGTTTCTAACCAGAGATGACAACAAATTTGGAACGAAAAAAGAATATTCCATTCAAGGAAGCAGATCTAGTTACAAATTGCTAGCAGCAAACAATCCACAAAGATCCAGCTTAGTTTCAATTGATTCATATTATCACTTGATCAGAAAAATCATATCAATTCATTCCAAAAACAATTTCCTAGATCTTAAACAAATACACAACAAGAAGACAATAATATTGCTCCATCAAAACCCAAAAAAGTAATCACATAAAGAAAGTAGCTAACACTATAGTTAACTTTACATTCACTCTGATCAAATTCCCGAAGGAATTGCAAAAAAAACAATTTGTCTTTTTCAAATCCACTAGCTGCTCATGTTACATAAGTTTGAAATTCATAAAAACCATCTCAGGCAGTCATCAATCCATTTAGATATGATCTTTGTGTGTGTGGACGCGCGTGTGCACAGGCAATGTAACACAATATATGTAATTGAAATAGAAGGAAAGTATGTTACTTCCTCTATCCATCTTGTCCAACTAAATACATTTTTTTTGCATAACCTAAGTAACATTTTCATCTTTTACCATCTTTCGACCCTCAACTACTTTCTTGCCTCAACCTTTATATGCAGTTATGCACATGGCTCCCTCTTTTAGATGCCCATATTACTCATTGTAAAAGAGAAGCCCTTATCCTTTTAGGCTTTCCTAAATAGAATAAAGAACTTTGTTATGAAGTCCTCCCTTTTAATTGATTCCATATGTTTCTCCCTCTTTTTGTGTGTCAATGGGTGAGAATATTCCCTCATCTTAAGAAGGTGAGTGTACATTTATCGTCAGTTCTATTATAATAATGATGATGAAATTAATGCTGATAAAGCAGTAGTAGCAGTGATAAATGATAATAATTATAATTATAATTATAACAATAATAAAAATATCAACAAAAAGAGAAGTAACAAGTGGAGGCCTACCACTCTCATCACTAGGGTGGTGTACCTTTGCTAGACGAAAGATAAATTCTAACTAAAACTAGAAACCCATTTGAGATATTTGCATCCCTACATTGTTTGCACATGACATTGTTTGTTAGAGCACTTTGATATCCAAGCATTAAATGTCCTACACAAGACAACTAAAATCATTGGGTTTTCAGCCAAATACCTATATGTAGAAATAAGTGTAAAAAAAGAAATGATATCTGGCTTTACTAAGAATTCAATTCCAATGAGCATTGCATTATATATTTATATATGATACTTAATAACATGGTAAGGTAATACAAACTCAAGGGATGCAATCATTAAATTAAAACCATTCCTACCAAAGCTTCGACACCACCCGTTGCTGCTATTGCTTCTCGGTTCCTATCATCGAATGACAAGTTCCACAATGCTCCAGCAGCTTCTTGCCTGTTTCAAAACAGATAAAGATTCTCAAAATAAAATATTGATAAGCTTTTACCATGATATAAGAACCATAGGCGCCAGAGATTCTGTAATTACTTTTTGTGGTAAAATAGCATCGTGAAAAGGCAGTAAACTGATGAACAAGTTTTCATGTACTACCATTCTAAAGCACGGCCATAGCTAGATGGGAAGAAGGTAGCCCCTCAACGCACACAAGAAAGCATATACAAATGATACTACATTTTATCCCCAAATTAGCTTCACATTTTCTTTTGGCACACTTACTATGAAAATGAATTTGTGTTGTTGGGATTTGTGAAATAAAAATCATAACGACCAAGGAGAGTACTCCATAATAAATTATTAATATGATATGAATCTACCTCTAAGTCTCACTCTTCATCTAAGCCATTCTAATGACATCACAAAGATGACATCTTAGAAGAAATTTAAAACTATATTTTAACATCTTATCTGCCATAATCCATATTATTTCAAAGTAAAGTCATTGTGATTGGTTTGAAACATTCAGTCAAGCCATTGAGAAGAAACTGAGAAGAAACAGGTGATGTCTTGTTATTAGTGGTTTATGTAGATGATATTGCTATTATTGAAAATGATGTTGTTGGTATCTACTCTCTTATGTTATTTATTCACAACCAATTCCAAAGGATCTTGACACATTAAGCTACTTCTGGGACATTGAGGAACAAGGAGTAAGAAATGAATATTACTTGCTCAAAGGAAGTAAATACTTGATCTATTTTCTGGAACAGGAAAGTTGGGAGCAAAACCAGCTAGTAAGAGGGAAGCCCCATGACTCTTAATATACACTTAACAAGAGAGGGAAGCCCCTTGAAGATCCAGAGAGTAATAGAAGGTCAGTTGGCGAGTGACATTATGTGACAATCGCCCAGATATCTCATATGCAGTTAGTGTTGTAAACAAGTATATTTCCATCTCCAAAAGTTGATTTCTAGTTTGTTATAGAACAACTTTTGTGATATTTGAAAGGGCGGTTGAAAATCATAGAATAGCTGTATAGGGCTATGGCACAGTCTGCGAGTGCAATTATATGGTTTTAAAATCTATTGAATGAAACAGGTTTCAAAGCTCCAAATCCTGCAAAACTTTGCTGTGACACTGCCCTCCGTGTCCCCCATAATCTTGTCTTCCATGAGCAAATTGTACACACTCAAGTTGATGGTCATTTTTGTTCAAGTGAAGATGCAACAAAGTTTAATTTTCCATGTGTGATATGTAAAGACCAGTGAACATATAGGAAACTTCTTTATAAAAGCTGTAAAAGGAAATGTGGTTAACTATTTGTTAATAGTTCCAATTGAAGGGGAGTGTATCGGCCGTTAAAAGTTGTAATAACTTTAGAATTATCTAAGAACAATTTGTTCATCATGACGCATCACTTAGTTCAACATGACATCATCGATTAGCTTATCATCCATGTGATTATCTCTCTCTCTCTAGATGCATTTTCTACAAATCATAATTTGAGAAAATAGACATTCTTCCTACACTTAATAATAATAATATTTATATGTTGAGGGTTGCACCCTAACGGTGTGACAAATAATAGCAGCATTTGCTAAAGCCTAAATGGATTAGAAGATAGAATTGTTTGAATATTTGCAAAGATAGCACATGTTCAAACTATGCATAAATGCAACAATTGAAAAATGTATACCTAACACCATCATGAGGGGAACGGGTAAGATGAACAAGGGCTTCAAGAGCTCCGTCTTCTTGTCCAACAAAAGCATTGTTGCAGTTGCTATCGCCATGAGCAGCTAGATTTGCCAAAGCACGAGCTGCCTGTATAGTCACAGAAACTAAGTCATAACTTCTTCATCTAGGACATAGAATTAGGCAATGCATCCCAAAGAAGCAACATATCATACATTTCACACTACGCTTTAATAGCCGGAATCAGAAGAATAAAAACTTGAAATGGAGTGTCGTTTATTAAGCACAGGGGAAATTTAATGAAATTGCCAAAAGCAGTTTCAAAGACATGTCAATAGTAATCAAGGCTTATCCATAAGCAGAAGAAGAATTAAATGAACCCTACTATCAACAGAGCACTTGCACATTTATGTCCAATACATTACACATTTTTTAAGCATGAAAAGATATTGCATTGGATTAAAATGAATTTCCAACTTAGGTGATACAATAATAACTAAACAAACATGCACAAAATTTTTGTACTTTGGATTCTAATGCTCCAGAGGAAAAAAGTAAAAACATTTAATGCAAATTAAATCCACTACATAAAAATAAGCTCCGAAAGTTCTAGAAACTAGTGATACCTGTTCTTGGACTCCTTCAGCATTGCAGTTTTGAGCAAGGGTAACCAGTGCATGTACGCCGCCTACTGAAGCAATCCCCATGCTACACTTATCATCAGCAGCAAGGTTTGCTAATGCACCAGCAGCCCGCTCCTGACACCCATAAATGTAGCTTTTTCAAAAAATAATAATAATCTGTGGAGCCTCTTACACAATATAAATGCCATACAAAAACAAGAGTACATAAATATGCAATATAGTACAAAACACATACCAGAACCCCTTCGCCACCACTCGATGACCATCTGAAGATCAGATCAACTAAAGCTTTTAAGCCACCTGCTTCAGCAATGGAAGCCTGGAAAGAGACCTATTTTTTCAGACGAATGAATGAATGGAACTTAATGTAATGCACTTCCCTTTAAAAGTTAGAAGGAAACCTTATGCCCTTCCCCAACTGAGAGATTCCAAAGTCCTCCTGCTGCCTCTTCAGCAACCAACCTATTCGCTGACCTTGCTAAATTCGTTAGGATATTAATACCTCCCTCCTCTGCAACAGACTTTGCAACATTCGCGTTCATAGATAAGTTTGCTATTGCCTGCATGAGTCAATTAGACTTTTATAGTAATGATTGATAGCACAGTGAGAGAATAAGTAAAATAAGGCTAATGTCTTTCCCTTTTGGTTGTGTCACAAGTGAGAATAACTAAAGCACAAGAAATCATGCTCAAGTCTACTGCGTGTTTAAATTTATAAAGGAGTGAACGCACCTAACTTCAAAAAGAAGCATTTAGAATGAAAATGGAAAATATCTTTAACAATAAATAAACATGTCGAATGATTATTTAAGAAAGCAGACAGTAAAATGGTGCTCTTTTCAAACAGGCTCTTAAGCACTTTATGAGAAATGACTTGTGATAAAAGCACTTATACTACGAGTACCTAAAAGACTCTACCTTTGCAGCTTCTGATTGGATCCCATCATGCCAACATCTTGCAAGGTTCAAAAGAAGCCGAATGCCACCACTTGGCATAATTGCTTCAGCCCTTCCACTGTCAACATTAGCATTTTCATCATCAATTACTACAAACGTTGCTAAGCCGGTTGCAGCCCTTTCCTGAACTTCTTCTTGTGTGCTTTGGGTCAAACTGAGAAACAGATTTGCACCTTGATTGAGCCAGAATGCATCCAAACCTTGGGGGTTGATCTCAGCAACACGCAAAAGAGAATGAGAGAGGATCCATTCGACCCAATTCATAACTTCCTCTCGCTTCCCTCCTTTAGTCCTTGATTGTCTCCATTCCAAAAAAATATTCCTCTCGTTCTTTAATTTAGTGTCGACAAATAAGGAAGCCACCTCTTTAAAAATGTCCGTCCGAAGAGAAAGTAGCAGTTTGCCTTTGTTATACGGAGGGACAAAGTTGGCATTTTGATCAAACATAGGGCAATATAAAGCGCATAAAACCATCAAGCTTTTCGAGGAAGAAAACAATCTCTCGACAGCACTGTGGATGATATCTGTTCTAGAAACATCTAAACCCATCAAGTTCGGTAGCTCACTCCAATGTTGTGAACCCAAATTCCAGTTTATATTAGTTGATCCTGCAACTGAAAGGAACTTAAGGGATAATACCCTCCCTATCCCTATCTCATCTACATTTAGACAGTCTATAAACCCAATTTCCATCAAATTCTTACAATTCTTAGCCAAAGCATTGATGGCATCTCCATCTACATCACGTACACCGGAGAGTCTTAGCTTACGCAGAAGAGGACAACAAGCAGCGATTGCTTTTATTGCACTACTGCTGATCCTTTCACAAAAATCCGGCCCAAGCTGCAAACTTTCAAGGTTTTCATGTCTAGCCACAATCATGGCAAGTGTGGCGTCTGTGACCTTTCTACAATATTCACCACTTATCTCACGCAAATCCCTAGCCTTAAGGTGTATAACAGCATCCGCAGAATCAGCACTCCGAAACCGAAGCTTTTGAAGATTCACACACCTAGACGCAAGAGAAGCAGCACTTGAAGCATCAAACTTGTAAGAACGAAGATCCAATTGCCTCCATAAACATTCAGACATGCTCAAAGCTCTCAAAGACCGGCATGTTGATGACAAACTTGCCCTATCGCGAAGATTCATAGATGAAAAAAGCTGAATTACAGTATCATCGGGCAACTTCGTCCAATCAACCACCCCTCTCTCGTCTAAAATACTATTGTTTTCATCAATATCTAAAAGCTCCACGCACTCTTCCGGGCCTTCTTTTGCCAATCTCCTTCTCACCCTCCGAGTCATACTGTTTATTCCCAAAAAAGAAGGGTTCTTATTCAGCAGATAGTGATCAATGCAACAAGACCCGAACACTTATGCCACTCTCTTTTTTATAAGACCACACACTGAGTGAACAAAGATCCAATTTTTCCAGACAAGAACTCTTCTTCAGTTTGGAAAAGCCAAAGAAACAAGCCAGGGAACAAAAAAAACCCAATTCCGAAACGAGACAAACTTTCACACAAAACCCGGAGCAAAAGACAATTGCTTGATCCTTGATAAACCCTAGCCAAATCAGCAAATTTCACTCAACAACTTCCCATCAATGCAACAAGTATAAATATGCATACCCACACACCATCAGCATTCAAGATCAGTGGCTATAAAAGGCAGAAAAATAAAGAATCTCCAGATGTAAACGCAAAAGTCTACAGCTTTCCCGTTTTCACAGACCTGGCTGCTAATCCCCCTCCTCTTAACTCCTCCACACTCCCCGGATAACACAAAAAAAGCTCGCAGATTTCTGCGCAGTTCTTGAAATCCCACAAGAAAATCACACTAAATCCTATACGTATAATCAATCATATATGTATCTATACACGCGGAGAAGAAGCGCAGGGAGTTGACAGAGAGAAGGTTGGGAAGTTGCCCCGTGCGGCGAGCAGTAGCAATTCGGACAGATGAGATGAAAATGGAGCAAAAAAAACGGAGTATATTCTAATTATTCTATATAGGGTTGATTACAGAAGAAGTTGAAGCTTTAAACCCATAATTAAGTAATTAACAAAGGCGTGCGTGATTTCCAAATTCTTTCATGGTGGTGGTGGGCTGGAGCGACGCACAAATGCACAATTCACCATTCTCGGACTGATAACAGTAGAATAATAAGCTCTGTTTTTTTTTCACGCAGTAATGAGAAAAAAAATTTACTGTAAATCCCAACAGTACAGTACCCATCTTTATTGTAACTCTAAATTGTTATTTTCCAGAAATAGTAATTAATTTAATTGTAGTTTGAATGGTGGTTTTTGTTGACGAGACCTCATTCACTGCCACTTTTATAAAATTGAATTGCAAAAAAAAGGCATTTATAGAAAAATTGTAGGTGGAATCTAATTCATTCATTGGATTCCAATTTTGATGATCTTTTCATGTTGATCAAATAATATTATCTACAATTTTTAACATAACAATTTGGTGAATAATGACATTGTTTCTCAATTATTATAACATTATCATGAATGTGGCATATTATTGTATGCTTCATGTTTTCTTGAAGCACCCATACTTTTAAGTATATATAAAAAAGAATTTGTTAACTAACTTATGAGACATGATTATTTTGGTGCTTCTTGGCATTTGTGTGCTTTGATTGACATCCATTTTGATTTATGAAGTCTGTTGTCAACTGATAATAAAGTGATAAACAAGTAGAAAATGGTGCATAAAATCCATAATGGTTCATGTTAGGATCACAGTCCTGTATTAGTATTGAACAACACATCATTTGGTCTGCATTTTTTTTTCTTGAAATGCTTTTGTGTACTCAATGCTACTCAGAACTAGGGAGAAAAAAGATTTAAATCTTATGCTCCTTTCCGCGACGAAGATGAAGGATTGCTTCGACTACAGAGCTTAATATCTCATTAATGGTACATCAATTGCAGACAATATCAGAGTAGAATCCAATGGTCCTGCGGGTACAGTCTTGAACACTAAGCAATTCCACGTCGAAAACTTCAAACTGTTTGGAGCTGAAGAATGTTGAAGGTCCTACCTGCAACACCATCAGACAAAATGATTGAAACTTTGAAAGTGCCAATAAACTGAAAATTGTGTCAAAATATATGCTGGAAGCACATATTAAAGGCTCTGTTTGGTAGAAGACTCACCGGTGGCCCAAGCTCTGGAGGTATGATAATTCTCCTCTTTCCCCCGGGTCTCATTTCCTCAAGTCCCTCTTCAAAACCTGTAATTTGTTTTGCAGCTTTTAGGCTGGTATGTTTTTTCTTTCTACGTTCTTCACCTTATTATTTTCCAGACTCCTTAAGGACACTTATCCTATACGAGTATCTATTAGAGAAAAACTCACAAAACCAAGACTACCTCTCAGTATATTAGAGCATCACCTGGGACCAAGCCATTAGTGCCCATTCGCACTCTTGCAGGAGCACCTCGTAAGTATGTACTGTCAATACGGCGTCCAGACTCGTTATAACCAACATAATGAAAAGTCACCTGCCAACAAGGAATGGATATACCTCGTGAAGTTCCATGCATTCAATGCATCATTCAAACTCATACCCAGACACCATCAATACAAATCTTTTGTGTTAGTATAAAGTAGCACATTCCACAAATGCATAAATTAATACACACATTTTTTTGTATGTAACTCTAAATAAAGTAACATGTTACAAACATTCATATTAATCGATGGACCGCCACCTACTTTTAACTGAAAAATGTACTCTTTGGTGTTATTAAGCTTTATTATTTGAACCTGAATATTAACTGACAAGAGAGACATTATAGCCTTGGGACTTAATGAACATTTGGTGAGATAACAAATGGATACAGTGAAGTTCAGTGGATGGCCTTGGCTGATTTTCTAGTGGTTCATGTAGCCAGCCCCATTGAATTGAGATTCAAGCTTCACTCTTGTTGTTGTTTAACTAGTCATGAAATCCCAAATCAGTATCTCAGACTTTAAAGGCATCAAAGTCTTGATGCAATTGGGATATTGTTAACAAATTGGTTTGTTTTGACCATTACAACTTCCAAACTAACACTGATGATATGGTCTTATTTTTTGGTACTACCTTAGGTAATCCAAGGTAGTTTGGTAATAGTTTATACCCACTTGGATGATGTTTTACAATTTTGGGGCAGCACCCCACACTAGAGTGCAAGATTCTATGGTGATGGAATATAAATTGATAATCATTATAGAGGGACATGTAAATTCTTAGGTTGGAAAGATTATGATAACCTCATAATTGGCAAGAAAATGTTTGAATTCTATTGCATTGGAAAATATTATCACGAGTTTTAGGCAAAGAGGAGATTGGGCTGTGTAAGAGACTAAGAGTGGTTTTAATTGAATTCATGCCAATACCTTTGAAATTCTAAACAAATAACATGGACAACGATAAGTTGATAACAACATGATCTTGGGCAGAGGGGGGAAAACTAGGAGCTTCGTTAAGTATATCGAAGTGTATTTCACATGTTCCAAAGGTGCCAAGTAGTCTAAAGGTCATGAGTATATGCATACATATCTCCACTATATTTTTGGTTCGGGGAATTAGAAAAGAAAAGAAAATGCTAAGGAAAAGAAAGCAAAAAAACATATCCTTGGTTAGTAGGAAAATTGGTAAAGAAATTACAGAGTACTTTTTAATAACTCCTTTATTTGTTTTTTTGTAGAGCAAACAAGGGTTGTTGTTGTATTGTATTGTTGTATTGTAGAGCAAACGAGGGCATGGTCAAGAGGAGGGGTAGCGAGTGATGAGGGAGGGGCGGGAGGAGTTTGTTGTTTTCTCTCTTTTTCCTCACAAAAAAAAGGAAAGTTATTTTGTCATTTTTACTCTACATTTTCCTCACTTTTTTTCCCTCTCAATTTTCTTTTCATTTTATTTACTACCAAGAGCCAAAATTGTTTTTCCTTGGCATTCTCTGTTCTTTTCCTTGCTGAATTCCATGAACCAAGCAAGTACCGTGTTGTCTAAGAATCATTTGTGTGTATAAGTAAAAAGCCTGCTGTCTAGAATGATATGAAAAATGAATTCTTGGTTGACATTTATAAAAATGAAACAGCCTTCTTCTTCCAATGATTAATAGTTATATAGCAAGTAAAAAACGCAAATTTGTTAATACTAACTTGAACACCCATAAAAGTAATTGTTGATAACAACAACCCAGTTGAATCCCACAAAGAGTAGGGTTTGGAGAGGCTATGTGTACGCACACTTAACCTACTCGAAAGTAGGGATGCTGTTTCCAAATTCTGTTTCCAATGGAGTCATCACTGCTGTTGATATTTAAAAAAATAAATTACACACAAAAGCATGTGAACCACTTTCTAATGGCAGTGCATACTTTTTGGGAATTCGTGACAAGTTTCACAAAACAAAACTACACTTGCAGGTTAAAATATAAATTGAAAGAAAACCTGCTGACCAGCCTTTGGACAATCACCTTTGCCAACAACAATGTCCCAAAATATCAAACCTGAGTCGCACGTTACATAGTTATTCGATGTCAATACTTTCACTGTGAACCCTGGATGGATCACAAGTTTTAATTACGACATAAACGGGATTGGCAGTTGAAAAAAGAGAGGGTAAAATTGAGATCAATTATGTTTTAAGAACAGATAAACAGACCTTCTCGTACAAAGTTTGGGAATTCTTCAGGGGCATTGTTTTCTGTCTGTATTCGTTTGTTTTGTTCAAGTAAGCGTTTTTCGTTGTATGGGTTTTTGTTCTTACTCTTCCCAAAACATGGGAAAGCTGGGGATATGCCTGAAGCAAGTAGGAAAAATAGAAGAAATCTCCTCCTCAAATTCTCCTCATAATGCAATACAGGACTATTCTGTTCTCTAGCCATGATGAAAAAAGTAGTTTATAAGCTCCATAACAATGAAAGTAGGCAATCCAAACAAATTAAAAGGGAAAAATTCATTGTCAACGAACCTGTTAACACGTACTGCGCCATTAATATATGAACCATAGAGTAACCTTGCCCTAGGCCAGGGTGTTCGAAAAAGGGAAAGAGTTCTACCTGTACATAACACAGAAGTATCATCAAAACACCACCAAAACAATACCTGTAAGGCAATTACTAGTTACTACATACTTACTCTACAACTGTATACAGAGATCATTATGCAGTGTCACTAACAACAACACCAACGATGATCACAAAGCCTTTATCTCAAGCAACTTGGGGTCAGGTGCATGAAGGGTCACTATGAATGTACACTCCCCATGCCCCTAAAAGACTTGCATGTTTTACTTTTTGGCCCGTCCCAAATAGATGTCTAATGTTTCTATTTTGGAAAGTTTTATGTGATTCAGTATTTATCTCTCATCTACAGAAATCTCAACGATACAGTTCTCATGTTATTAAAAATTATACCGGCACATCTCCTTGGGATGGCAAATTATATGTACAACCCGATGTACCTTCTTTTACGTACAACATGGCAAATTTATAGTTAAGAAAATATTCTAGAATGAACACTACATTATTTCAGAATGAACACTATGTTGAGCAGGCTTCAGAATGAACACTACAGTATGAACATTTTGTTGAATTCAAAATCAACATTCGCCGGGAGTACCTAGCTCTACATATAGCAAGGTGAACAGTATACATTCTCCCTTGGGACAAGGGAAAACCAAATTGGAAGAAAGACATTAGAAGCTCATAAAACCTTCCTCTCGTCTGCGTCAAACCAAGCACCCAGTTCTTATTTATTTTTTCCAAAGACCTTGTGCAAATATGAAGTGGCAAATTCACATCTGGAAATTGCACCTAATGGATCCCATTTAGTTTTCCTGAAATCTATATATAAAAAAACAAATTTCATCCAGCGTTGCATCAATAATCAAACTCTCATGGTGGTCAATTTTGAGAAGAGGTGTCTGAAATCAGTCACCCGAACTAGGAATTTGGAAAACCAATGTCAAAGGAAGACGACGGACCAGTGGAATTACGTTTTACCGGAACAAAACGATACAAAGATTCATTACAAAAGCAAAAAAAAGAATTGAGCATCGAAACGCCATTAACAACTTTCAATCTAGAAAGAGAAAGACTTGCGAGGAAGGGGAGGCTTGGGAAGGAGTGTGGTAGAAGAGATAGAGAGCATAGCTGTTCTTCCTTGTTTAGCAGCCTAAGGCAGTTAGAGACTACCTTGTTTGGGGGAATCAATGGGAGAAGGTAGCCAAAGGTAGGGGGAGGTAGCTTAGCCGCGGAACAGTGATAAAAATCCGCCAGCCCATTCTCCGGTAACTCGAGGTAGGTTTTGCGTTTTCCTTCCCTGTCCTCCTCTTCTTCTTCTTCTTCTACTTCTTCCGTTTTTGCGACTGACTTCCGGGATTTAGCAGGGGTTCTTTCTCAGATTTCTTTTGCTTTCAATCTCTTTTTTCTTTTTTTGCTTTCAATCTTTTTCGTTTTCTTTTTTTTTTTTTTTTGTTTATGGTTTTCTATTTTTTAAGCTTATGTTTTTATTGTTTTCTTTGGTTTTACTTTTCATTTTTTCTGTTTTTCAAATTTATTTTTTGTTCTTTTTCAATTTTTTTCCATTTTTTTTGTTTTCAATTTCTTTGTTTTAAAATGTATTTTTTTCTTTTTTTGTAATTGATGGCCACGGGAGAAGGAAAGAACCAAATTACTTAGGGGTATTTAAGTAATTTTTTGTGTTTCTTACCTTACATTACCTACCGGAGTATTAAATATCCAAACACAATTTTTCAATTTCTTAACTTACTCTACCTACCTTACATTACTTACCTTCAATTATCTGCCTAATAAAATTTTACCTACCTCTTACCAAACACAGCGGGATTTGCAATCCTTCGGTGTGTGCCGATCCTTCATTACATTAGATCACTCTATAGTCCTAAAACATTGAGTTTCCAAAAAAAATTAAAGTATGAGTAAAATTTGGAAGTTATATAAAAATTTCATATTTTTATTCTCACAATACGAGTCAAAATGTATATTCATTATCAATCATGACTATGCATGTTACCAACAAGTATAATAATATGTATATATACAATGTCACATTACCATAGTGCAAATATTTATTAAGAGGAATAATATAATAGAACTACTATTTTGATATTTTCTCTATGTTTTACTCTTATTTACGGTGATTTCTTATATAGTATCATATGTTTTAAGGAGTTAGTTCCCTTAACATTGTCGGGCAATGTCATGGGATGACCCGGGAGTTTTTCGGAGCTCCGTTCATAAAATTGACAATTCTCACCTCATAATCCTCCTAGTAAATCATACCCTGCCCCAACCCAAACACCCCCCCCCCCTTGAATTGCACACCACAAGTCAAAATCAACGTGTGGGGTACAATTGAAGGGAGTGATGTGTGTTCGGATCGAGACATGGTGGGAGGTTTACTAGGAGTTAGAAGGTAGGAACCGTCAATTTTACAAACCGAGCACCGAAACATTCCTAGGTCATCTCATGATATGGGAACCACACCGATGTTTTAATTTCACAATGTATAATGTATTGTCATTGATGAATGTCTACGAGACATTGTTCAAGGTAATTGTTTCTCGCCACTGGTCATTGTTTCCGTCATTAGGCCGGGAATAATAGGTTTTAGGTGCTACATTCAAAAAACAAATGTTTAAGTACTATTTAGTGTAATTTCACATTGATTATTCGAATGAAAAAATGTTAAAATGGGGAAAATAAAATCTATTTAAATTTATTAGATGTTTAAATTTTAGGGGAAAATGTAATTGTTTAGTCCATATTGATGTAGAAAAGAAAGAATTATTATAAACCACACATTACATCTTTTAGAAAGAATGAAAACTTCATTTTCGTACAATCAAAAAAATTAAAAGTTTATTTTGAGACAGGCAGAATAACTTTTTTGAAAGAAAACTATACAAATACGGAGTACTCCATAAGTAATTTGTTTTAAAAATGGATTTTTTTAAGCATCAATGGTTTGAATTAGTTAGCGAAATTTATTATTCTAGACCAAATCAGGAATAATGAGTTAACTCTATAATTTAATTTTTAAATTATGATATAGAACCATAGAAAGACCGTAGATGAGAATGTATATATATTCTGCCATTGTCTCTGATCACAAACGACGTTGCCCGGCCCTAAACTCGGATGACTTAGCTTCTTCAATCGGGAAGTTCGTGTGGTGACTTAGCCCAACGACCCTCGTGTTAAAACTTAGAAGTATTGATTAAAACTCGTGGATTCGTCCATCCATTTGTCATGATCTTAAGCTCAAACGTCCAAATAATTTCAAAGTCTAAATATGAATGAAAGATCAAATAAACATACATACACAACAGAGTTGAGTTTAATTTTATATATGTGTGTGTGTGCGCGCGTATTTAATTATATGCTCCGTATATTGATAATTCAAGCATCCTTTTTCTTAGGGGGCTTCAATGCAATCCCAGAGTGACTCTCCGTTTGAAGGGGGGGAGTGACTATTGGCCTCTTGAAGTGCACATATGCGCAGTACTCGATCCGGAGCCTACTCCCTTTCGAGAATATTGTTGATGATAACGCTGCAGCCTCTACTCCTCCACCTATAAATATATGTACAAAAATATACACAAAATTGAAAATCCATTCCATAAATTATATTTGCGTTGCATTTTTATTAATGGAACGGAGAAAAACTAATTATATACGGAGTAATAATCTTTTGTGTTTGAATATAGTGTTTATTACGTAGTACTACTTTTTATTCAGAAAATGAAATCCATAAAAACACATATGTACCGTGTGTGACAATGAGCAAGTTGTCACGAGGGTATTTATCAGCCAGCGTGCGAAATACGTGCATGAACCTCTCCCTTGCTCCTTCTTCACTCTCCTCCCACTCTGGAATCTGTTCTTATTTATTCACACATTTTGATTTCCAAATCACCCTCAAGAATAATGCAAATTTTATTAGTTTAAGAAATTTGGAAGAAAAGAAAATGGTTTTTTTCATTTTCCCCGCTAAGATTGAAGAAATTTATTCGTTTTCTTTCTATTTTATTTTCTTTCCTTTTTTTTCTCTTTCAAATTCCTTGACCCAAACAAACATAAAGAAATCTTCCCAATCTTGAAAATATCAAAACAGGAATTCTTAGATATTTTAAAACCAGTATAAATAACCTGATCATACACTCTCTCTGCATCGCAAACTGTTGTTCCAGCAGGTAACTGAGATTCACACTCTGAGATTACAAATTTAAAATCTCCATCTTGAGGTGGGTGCCATATGGCTTTCCTGTTCATAATTTCGGCTAATCCAAGCTCCACGCCAGCCTGATCAATAATCCACACAATATGAAAACGAAATGGGCCGGGATATGACATGTGGGAGAAGAAATTAATCAAATTGTTAGCAAACCCTGATTTGGGGGAGACCGTCGGACGAGAGGGCTTCCATAGTCCGGGAGGCCGTCTGCAGGCATCGGCGGAAAGGGGAGACAAAGACGCGGTGGATCGGGGCTCCGATCTCTTCCCGGATCTTCTTCGCCGTCTCGGAGTAGAGTTCTTTGTACTCGCCGCCGTCGTAGAGCGGCGGGTCCCATGGACGACCGGCGTTCTGGACCCAGTTCTCGTCGAAGTTGTCAAGGCGCGGACCGTGCCTCATTACGACGACGTTTTGGTACAGCTGTTCCTGTTTCTCCTCTTTATAAAGCGCCATCTTTTTCCCGAGGAATGAAACCAAAGTGTTCATTAATTTCCAAACAAAAAGGAAAAACGCACACCCCATATTTAGAGGTTTGCTGGTTAGTTTCTCACGCAGATGGAGACTGTGTATATATACATACCATAACACATTTCTACTTTCTTTTTCATGTCCAAAAAATCTTTTTCATTTCAATTAAAAAACCATTTTTATCTTTATTAATTCTTAGCATACCTATTACGTTACATTTACTCATTATTAACCTATCCATCAAATCTTACTTTTACGCATCACATCTAATGACATTTTTGACAATTCACATCTAATGACATTTTATATGGATAGAGTGAGTATATATTTTTCCCATTTCATTTTGTAGTCTGGTCTCCCGTCTCCTTGTTAAAAGTAAAATGTCAATAATCTCTTTTCCCTTTATTACACATCTACTGCATTTTTTACTTGTATTACTTTGTGAATAAGGAACTCTCAAAGTTTAAAGCATAGTTTTGAGAACCGGACCGGGGACCGAACCGGTCAAGGTACTGGTTCACTGGTCGTACCAGTGGTTCAACTGGTCGAATCGGTGGTTTAAACATATTTAAAAATTATATAAATATAAATATAAATATATAAATATATATAAATATATATAAATATATATATACACACACACACACACACACACATTCTCATATATAAATACATAAAGAAAGTAATTTTTTGACTAAAATTATATTAACATACTTGAGTTATTTTAAAAATCAAAATATAAAATTTACATGTTAAAAATAATATTCAAAGTTTATTAAAAACATATCAATGATTTTGTGTTTGACTCATAGCATATAATACTACTTATTACTCCCTCCGTCCCAATTTAAATCGCCTGTTTTGACTTTTGGGCATATTTAAGGAAAATAAAAAATAGAGTTGATTTTCCGAAATTGACATTATTTTTTAGGAGTGATGATAAATGAGAAGATAAGGTGAAGAAGAGTGACTTATTTTAGGAGTAGTTTAGGTATTTTATTTTTAAAAGTTTACGAAAACAACTAACATGCAACTTATTTAAAGACGGAGAAAAAAGGTAAACATGCAATTTAAAATGGGACGAGGGAGTATATTTTTAAAGTTGAAAAGTAATTTTTATACAATCTTTTTATTAATTATGAAATATTAGCAAAAATTATATGAATTTAAAACAACAAACACCCTTAGTTGGATGGTTAAGAACTTAACCAAATAGCTAAGAGGTCTTGGGTTCAAACCTCCATGGAGTGAAGTTTTGGAAAAAAATTGTTTAAAAAAAAACTGGTCGGACCGGTTCGACCGGCCGGTTCTTACCGGTGTGCACCGTTTCGGACCGGTTCGAAGCGCATTACGGTCCAATGGGCCGGACCGGACCGGTTGGTTCACCGGTTCACGGTCCGAACCGGTCGGTCCGGTCCGGTTTTTAAAACTATGGTTTAAAGTAGATGTATAATTGATAGTTGGATACTTTTTTTCTTAAATAAGCATACGTGCCAAGTCAACATATATTACCTTCGTCCCTTAAAGATTTTGTTATTAACTATTACGATATCTCGATAACTCTTATTCCATCCGTCCCTAAATAAAGTTTCATTTTTGATTTTTTGAGGATTTAAGGAAGGGATATTTTGGTGTTGACTTTCCAAAGATACCCTTGATGTGATGTGTTAAAGTAAGATGTGATAGGTAGATTATTAGTAAAATGGTATGATGTGATAGGTATGGTATGAAAAAGTAAGGGGTAAAAGAG